AGAGGGGTCTTCAGCATGCCCTTGTCTGTCTCTAAGTCAGGTCAGTTTGGAAAGACTATGGCTAGCAACACTTCCATAAAAGGAGTGCTCATGCTGAGTTGCACAGGCATGGAAGTTCAGGGAATTCCTCCTCTTGCTGATAGATGGTATTGCAGGTGAACTTCTTGTTCTGAGGAAGAGAGAATGGGGTCTGGTATTAGCGCATTTTCCCAGGGATGGGGCAAGATCAGTCATTAAACCTGTAAAACGACCTTTCCCATCCAGTTCTACCAGGGGTGGAGTATGAGCTGACTGATCTGATCAGTGTCTTACTGGGGTACAGCTCGCGCAGGGGCTGCATTCTCTCTGCATGCTGTTGTCTTGAATGCCACTCGGTGCGCTGACTAGTTCCATGCTGTATCTAGAATGAGCTCACGTGCTAGTCTCATTGCTTTAGTTACTAATCATTGGCCCCTGCCCTTTTCTCTTGAGGCTTACAGTATCTTGTGGAAAACCAAACACGTGCAGGTAAGGCGGCTTGATGAATAACGGGCTCTCCCACACCCCTTAAAGAAAGCTTCAGTAGTACTCCTCCCCCACTTTTCTAACCCTCAGCTGGGATCTGACTATCAAAGCCGGGAGCTCACAGGGGAGAGTGGGAGCCCCATGGTGCCTCTGCTAGTTGCAGGCTGCTTCTCCTTATGCAAACAAAACTTAAACGTGGATTATTCTACTGTGGAGCAATTTCCCCAGTTTGCAGTCTGATGAGGGATATTGCTCTGGAGACCGAGCAGGAGGAGAGAGCAAACTAGCAGTTATAACTGGAGTTGGAAGGAACCCAAATGTGTGGAATCCGTATAATTGGGGCATCCTTGTAGACATCGTATTGATTGCAAATGGGGGTGTTAAAATGGCTGAAGCATGACTTGCAAATGGAAAAAAAAGCTTCTTCCTTTTTTCTTTCAAATTCCAAATTGTGCTTGTTTTACTCTAGAAAGTCAGACATGGGCTATTCTGAAGGCCTCTAGTGACTGCAGAACTTATGACATTCTAACATCACAAGATGCTGAAAACAGAGCATTAGAAAGGGAAAGATTTGTAATTTGTTTAAAACACACTTTTAAAATGTTATGCCACCGCAGTACCTAATAAATACTGGGTAGAAAGGAAATGTTGAAGTTTCAACATCCCTATCTATTATTTAAGGTGCCAGGTGGAATAGTACATATGCTTTTGAATACTTAAAAAAAAAAAATTCAAAAAAATGTATCCTGCAAAATCAGAAAAGACTATGCTTTGTTGTTGATATTTCTAATGTACAAACAAGCATGAAGGAGGGGACTTCTTGTGGGAGGAGGAGAAGACATGGACAGCCTTTCAGATAATCTTTATAATATCATAAGAAAGCAAGAGGGCATGCAGTCTATTAAACTATTTGCAAGACCTATTTAGAAATGAAATACAATACAAAATACAAGAACAAAATGGATATTACTTTTCCTCTTTATTTGACTGCCTGTCAGAACTGCCTAAGCATAGAATTTCATACTGTAACACCACCTTCAAACACCACTTGACATGGTGAAACACGTTTCAAGTGAGTGTAAATCTCATGATAATTCAGTGCTGATTAAGCAGCCATTGTTTGCAATCCTGTTCCCTGAGAGATGTCCTAATACAACTATCTTCCTAACTAAGCAAAATATGGAATTCTGGAGAGTAGAGATGGAAAAGCCCTATCGGGTAACCTTAGCTGTCCCCTCAATTGTAAAACCAAAGCTTTTAAATAGCCCTTGGTTTATGTGTTTATTTTAGAATATTTGAATGAATGTTCAAGTTAAATCCTAAAGAAATGTCATTGTCTTTTGTATTCCTGGCCCAGAGGTTTACATGCCTGCTCACATGTTGAATTTGAGCCCCTGGCAAGTGGTACAAATTGGCAGAGAATGAATGTGTGTGTAGAGTGAGGGCAGGAGATATAAAACTGAAAGCAAACTTCTGTGTGGAGAGCTGGAGCAAACAAACCAGTATCCTAAATATCTAGATTCTAGAAGGTAACCATCCTAAAATGGTGTTTGTAAAGTTCCCTGTTTCTTAAGCCTGATTGAGGGTCGAAGAGGTTAAACTAACATGGTTAGTTCTCCGTAAGAGATCTTGTTTGTGTTCCACTGGCTTGGCTTGGCTTTGTTTTCGCTCTTAACCATTCATTAACTGATTGATAAATCACTTAGGCAAATCATGGAAACAGGCACAGGGTTTAGTAACTGGAAGCAAAATCTGATATCTTACAATTGCTTTGAAATAAGCCTTCCTGGGTTTAATAGTTAGTGCTTCCATTTTGCTCTGTCATGGTTACACCTTTTTGCATATAATTGTCCGTATAAAAATCCCTGGAAGTCTTTCAAATATGGTCAAAAATGAAGAAATTAATCTTATTTCTATAAAATAATCAAGCAACACTACACTGACCAGATTTTCTTCTTCATACCTCTCCAAGCACAAAGAGCTCAGAACCAGGGAGTGACCCTGTAATTGAGCAAATTGGGATTCTTAAGGGATTCCTGGGGAAATTAAAAAAGGAAAATGCAGCTGGTTGAGATGACATATGAAGGAGAACGTCTAAGGTCTAGCTATATCCTAGGAGCCAGAACATCATGCAGGCACTCATGCTGGCATTAGAGGCACAGTGGGATAAGATGCATGAGTAGAATACCAAACCAGTCGGAGATTGAAATCCTACGGTTAAAATAAAAGATTAAAAAACACGAATAATCGTTTATATCCCTCTGAACTGTGAAGCAGGGGTGATGAGACATCGGACAATGTCTGTGAAAAAAATGTATCAGCTTTTTAAATGGCTGAGATCTGTTAAATTTCACATTGTCTATGTTTTCTATCATTTATGAAGTAGTTACATCCTAAGGACTGGTAGTTTCTTGCTGTAATAACTGAAGGAAATAGCAAGGGGAAATGCAGTCCCAAATCTGTTGTCAATTAACTAGCTCAAAGAAGACTGTAACATTTCTAAAACTTGAGGATTAGCAGTCAAACAAATCGAATTTGTGGAAGAAGGGAGAAGTACACAACTGGGTTACCACATTGGGACATAACATTTTCATACCCTTTGTTGGAATAAGAGAAATGATAGGCTGTATAAATGGGTTACACAGTCTTAGAAAAGAGGGGGGGGGAGATGATGTTTCCACTGTTGTGTTTTCCCAAATGCTAGTGGCTGAAAGGCTGGGTGTGTAGATGGAAAAATGAGACGAGTGAAAAACGAAATGTTAGATGGCAAGGAAGGAGTTTAAACCTGCAATACGGGGAACAGAGAAGCAAAAGGTGATAACGTTGGACCACTCTGCTCATTGGAGGAAGTGGGTTGTGCCCACAAAAGCTGATGATACTTACTCTCTGGCTACGTCTAGACTGGCATGATTTTCTGCAAATGCTTTTAACGGAAAAGTTTTTCCATTAAAAGCATTTGCAGAAAAGAGCGTCTAGATTGGAACGGACGCTTTTGCACAAAAGCACTTTCTGCGGAAAAGCGTCTGTGCCAATCTAGACGCGGTTTTGCGCAAGAAAGCCCCGATCGCCATTTTCACCATCGGGGCTTTTTTGCGCAAAACAGTTTTTCGCTCTCTACACTGGCCTTTTTCCCAAACGGGAGCAGCACAGTATTCGCGCAAGAACACTGACAATCTTACATGAGATCGTCAGTGTTCTTGCGCAAATTCAAACGGCCAGTGTAGACAGCTGGCAAGTTTTTCTGCAAAAGCAGTTGCTTTTGTGGAAAAACCTGCCAGTCTGGATGCAGCCTCTATGTATTTGTGTCAGTCTCTGAGGTGCCACGGGACAGCTTGTGGTTTTTAACATTGGATCCGTGAGATACAGGTCATGTCTCCACTGCCACTTTCCTGGGCTGCTCCTTTCTAGCTCAGGGGTGTGAACAACGCCATCCCCCCACAAGCGCCGCAAGCTACAGCACCGTGAGGCACCGGTGTAAATGGGCTCCCAGCACAGAGAGCGCAGCTCCTCGTTGAGCTGATTTACACAGCGTGCTGGAGAGCTCTCTCCCAGCGCTGGAGCCGTAGCTATACTTCCAGTTTAAAGCACTGCCGCTGCAGCACGTCCATTTTGGAGGGTAGATGTAGCCGCAGTGGGCTGTCTATGCTGCAGAGAAATTTGTACTTGTATCGCCACAGCCACTCAGCTGCAGCCAGGCTAGGCTGCAAAGAGTAGGTTTTCATGGCATTGGTAAAAATCCTGGATGCCATAAATTTACATTCGGTTCCTCTAAAGCTGAATTCTGCTGAGCTCTCTAACCTTAACTCTGTTACAGGCATGGCTAATGTGCCATTTGGTAAAAGACCCTAAAAATGATCTGGTCACAATTGAAGGGTTACTAGATTAAGGCCAGAAGGTACCAGTAAGATTATTTAGACTGGCCTCCATTCATAGGCCATAGAATTTAACCACATGATTTCTGCATCAAGCTTAGAACTTCTGGCTGATCTTGAACAATGGAAGGGTGCTTGGTGACCACAGAGAAGAAACTGTGGAGGTGAGGCGTCTGAGTGGCTTGGGAGTTGTTGACTACGTAGTAAATCATGCAGAGTCATTGTGGATGCCTCTGTGCCTTAACTTGCAATTTCTTTGACTCAATGCTATCCGAGTTGAACAGAAGTGCATTTTTGTGAGGGACAAACCATGTGGATCTCAGGCAGACATTCAGTATACTGCCATGCTGTTAGCTGAAAAACTGGATAAATACCAGGCAGATAAAGTACTGAAGCCTGGAGTAGAAATTGGATGACAGAGGTATAATAGTAAGGCTTGCAAGGAAAAAACCCATCAACTCCAGGGATCACTACTGGGACCTGTTTAATATTTTTGCTGCCTCGTTGAAACTCTCTGCTCACAAGACCCAAATCTGTTAGCTAATGCCTGCACAGAAGAACCACCCTTCCGTAAAGGGATCTGTAGAGCGGTTGGATCAATTGGCTGCAGCAACAAAATTCAGTACTAACAAGCATTCAGTCCTAGAGCAGTGAGAGGAACACAGTCTCTCTCTGGGGACATCTGTCTGAAAGTAGCTGTTTCAAGACCTGGCTGTGGCTGTGGGTTTACTAAATGTGAGCATGTGGGCTGTGTGATGTTGATGTAGTCGGGTAATAGCGTAACATTGCAAACCCTGGGACACATGCCTCAGAAGCACTCCAGTCTTAGTCTGCAGCTTTTAGGAAGAATAGGAGGAGTAGAAAAAGTAAAAGGGCAACAAACAATTCAAAGGTTAGATTAGATGTAGCCACGAAGGGGATAACAACAGTTGAAATCTAGATTAAGGAGGACGTGGTTGCTGTCTGATACCATCAAATTAATATTCCCCCAAAAAAGCAATTAGTCTCTCCAAGAGCTAAAGGGAAAACAAGCTATTAAGGAAAGTGGCTTGATGGTGGATAGTTTTCCTTAGGGTAAAAAGTGAAGGCGCCATTGCTCCAGAGATTGAAGGCCAGGTTAGGAATGGCGGGATATAAGTGTGACCGGAGAGACCTGCCCATGGGACAGAGTTGCATTGGATGACAATATGGTGTGATTTTTATGGAAGCTTCTTTAAAGGGCTTGAGTTGATCACTTAAAACATGAGCAGGGACCTACAAGCAGAAGCAGACTGCATTTCAGTGTAAAGCAGGGAGATGGTCATGTGGAAAAATAGGTTGTGGGGCTTGAACTGAACGACAGTAAAGGCCCGGTGTCCTGACGTGGGGGGGAAGATGAGAGTAGGCTTGGGGTAGGTGCATGCCTTGGAGGTGCTTGGTTTGTGTGACACAGTGGGGTGCTACTGCCTGTTTTTGTGACTTTGGGGCAGACTTTCTGGGCAAGTTTTACGTGCTCTTTTGTGCTGCACAATGCTACTGGTTTGATGTTCTTGGTGTTCACTATTCACAGCTGAAAATGAGAGCAGGAGGAATGAGTGATTCATCAAAATGGAAAAAACAGAAAAGATCCCCAAGGCCTCCTCGCCATGCAACCAAGGTCTCTCCAGGGACAGAGCAACCAGCCACCAATGGTACTCTTATGGCCAGTAGCATCACAGGTAAGCAGAAACTTGTTTCCAAAGGATGGGTGTCATCCGTCCTCGGGCTGTACTGTTCCTCTTTATTTGTTCTTTCTCCTCCCCAACTCTGTTTTCTATATTTAGTCTGTTAGTTGTCAGAGATGTAGCAGCTTACCTCCCACAGCTGTCCAAGGCAGAAAGCCTTGTATGAGAAAGTGGGAATGCCCTGGTGTGGGGGCAAGAGATCCCTCTTCAGGGAGGAGGCAGAATGGAGGGTAATAGGGAGACAGCCCTTGGCATGAGGGTGAGGAGACTTGCAGGCAGTCCTGGAAACTGAGGGCCTTAGGAAGATGGCCCAGAGGGAGCTTGCGAGGGGACCAGAGGAATGCAAGGAGCCCTGCGTTTATGCCAAAAGTTCTGCCTTCAGAAGTCCCAAAGTGTGCTACCCTTAGTACTATTATCTGGAGAGACAGCCAGTAGACAAACTGCACAGTCCAGTCTTTTGCCTTGAATTTGGGTACATGGCTTCTCTTGGCTGTGGAGTAGATTCTGGTCTCATGTGCTCTTTAAATGATGACTGTTCAGACGTAAACAATAGCAATGAAAGGACTCAGGCAGGAAAGTTGCTATAATAGTTATGTAGAGTATGCAGCTCTGAAGTAACTGCCTGCACGAAGAAAACTATTTAGAGTATTTTCTCACAACAATGTAAACATTGAAGTTTGGAAATCAAAAGGTAGAGCATTACAGCCGCTGTAATAAATATCCAAATGTTAGCCTGCACACGAACACACCACCACATTAATACCTTCTCTAGCATTCAGTTTCAGTTCAAGAATCTCTTCCCCTTGATGCAATACATGAAGAAACCAAAACCCATTACTGCACATCTCCTCTGCTGTGACATTCCCGTGTCATCATTTAATAATTCTCTCTAAACTGCCATCAGGCTGTACACTAGGGAGAGACAAAACGCACCGTTGATTTCTTATGTAGCAGAAGTGTGCATGTTTAATATTTGCTTTTTGCCTTTCAAAAAACCCAGCTCAGCTGTACAACACACATTATATATGAACTGTGTGATTCTGTTAAGTTATAATGTGTAACTCTGGGTTGTTGATTTATTCTGTTAACATGATCAGCAATGTGACTTCCAGTACTTGCGTCATGTTTTCAAGGTTTTCCTTCACAACTGTGAAGGCTACACACCTAGGGGTTGTCTTAAACAAAAGCTTCGACTCTGGAGCATCCACCTGACATGTGGAGATGATGAAAATGTTCTGACATTTCTCATGTTTATTTGGCTTCTGCTGAAACTCAGTCTGAGGAATTACAGGAATAACTCTCGCTTTTCTGTTTTAAATTCTTTCCCTTTCAAAAGTTATTACTCAATTTTCTTGCCATGCCCACATACTTCATTGGAATCCGAGACAACTGCAGGTTTTGTAGATCCCGGTGAAAATGCATTCTGCTCCTATTTCAAGGCATGTTGTATTTTTATGTCCTAACTTGTCAGATGTTGTTTGCCTGGATTTTAATTTTAGTCCGCTCTCTATTCAGGCCAGTGACTTGATTAGGTGGAAGAGGAGCATGGCTCATTGGGAGTCTGCATCCTCATCGAGGGTTGAAATGAAGTCAAGAAAAGAAAGTCAGTAAAAATACAGCCACCCACCCTGAATGGGGGAGAGCACCCCTTCAAAATGCTTCCATATCAGTCTAGGTCATTTCCCTTTTAATCCGCCATCCTGTCACACGAGTCTCAGGCAGAGGGCTCAGGAATGGTCTCCAGTTCTGTTTATGGAGAGGAAAAAACAGCAAGACCAACGAACAGAAGTTGCCTGTTTGCTCTCTAGTAGTGGGAAGCGTCCATCCTGCCCCAGGATTAGATTCTGTGCTGCACCAAGGAATTCTTAACTGAAGAAGGAAGCTCCTACATTACTGGAACTTCTCTAAATACAAGCGCCATAAGGGCTAAACAATTACAGTGTTGAGATGTGCTTCCCACACTGGGGAAGACAAACAGCTACCATCCATGACTTGTATGCCACATCCCAGACATGGTCAATCCAGGGGTTCTGAGCAATTGTGTACAATCCCTCCTGCATCTGCCCAAGCCGAGGTAATATGATTGCTGAGAGCATTAATCTACCTTCTGTCCTGTAGTACATCCCCTGGCCATTCTAACCATAGACATTTGGAACAGGAAACAATTTGTGTATGGTAGATGAGTCAATTCTCTGCAGTGTTTGCGCTTGAAAGCAGGAAAAGAACTGGGGTCTGGGAATCTTTGCTGTTTTTGTAGCTCTTCAGTTGTGCAGACCACAGGGACCAAATACATCAGCCATATCCTTGTAAATGTCTGCATTCTGTTTGAATATGTTTTCATTTGTTCATTAGATCTGTTAGATTCCATCCACTGTGTGACAACAGGGAGCTGCCAGTCTGTCTCCTTGGGATCTGCTTGGCTTGCAGATACCCCATTTCTCTGTCTTCTGCATTCTTACCTCATTTTGAGAGTGAGTTTGTGGTGCAACAGGACTGGGGATAAAGCAGTTATTTGTTGCTGTTTGCTTAGCACATTGGTGATAAAGACAAGGGTGCGTGTCAGTTTCACTAAGCTGTTGCTGCTGTTTCTCCTTGGTAGATGGTGTTGCTTTTATTGATGCTCCTTCTCCCATCTCATCGGGAAGTTCAGAAAACACCTCCTCTGCTGTCAGCCCGGCCACAGATAGTGGCTTGGAGTTGTCTTCCCAGACCACCTCCAAGGAAGATCTTACAGACTTGGACCAGGTCAGCTCTTTGGGACTTAGTGCAGCAATGCCTTCCAGTGAGCCCAGAACCATTGAGCATCCACACCAGCCTGAACGCCAGGTATGAGCACGATCCTGTGCAGCCTGTCCAGCTCCAAACCCGGTGGATCTAGCATCTGTATTTGTTTAGCCTCCCTAGTGCTATGCTATAGTTAGGAGCTAGGAAGGGGACAGGGAGAGATTTCCCTTAATAGCCCAGAGTGGCATTGTTTGTGTGCATTATGTGCTCACACCCAGTATTAGGGGAACTGTGGTCCAGTAGAGCAGTTCCTATGCAGCTGTACCCTTTCCAGTTTTTCCATTACACCAACTGTCCACAAAGGAATGACTAAGAGAGGCAGAGGTGGCTGAAGTTTGCCGCAATCTCTCTGTGCTGTCTTCAGTAATGATTTTCCAGCCTCAACATTTAAATTTGTAGAGGAGCTTGTGGTGCTTGCTTGGTGTGTGTGGACTTGCATGTGACCCTGCCTAATCTGGGAGTAGAACTGGATGGAATGTGGCGCAGTTCAGAAGAATAGCGTACGAGAGACTGTTTCTATTTCCTATTCTTAAGGGTGCAGAACGAATGGATCTCACCCTCTCACACCTAGTTTTATTCGTAGACAGGAAGAGGAAAACAAGCTTTCTGGCTTCTTCAGCTCTGAATGAACTAGTCATTGAAGTGAACTGTTGAATACGAAATCAATATTTTCTCTGCACTTTCAGAAGTGACAAATGCCATCAAACGTTGATTTGGTGCTTCAGCGTATTCCTGTTCCAGGTGCTTAACCAGATGTATAATTAGTTAATCAGCTTCCTCCAGCAGTTCTCTGGTTTGGCCTTCTTTAAGACTTGGCAGCAAATGTGTGTTGCTTATTCTTTTCGTATGTAATTTGTGTTTTCATCTGTAGAAGAAGATTCCAGGGTTATTGTTCTGTGTATCTGATTCCTAAAATGTCAGTAGAGCCAGTATGGTGTGATGGAAACAGCTACATGCACTGTTGATAGTGTTCAGTCTTCACTGGGATCTGGGGTCTGTTACCCAGTTTTTAAGTTCTCACCCATTTTTTACTTTGTTCCTCCCATGATTTTATGAAGTACACTCATGCACCAGCATAGGGCGGTTTAGGTTGGACATTCGGAAAAACTTCCTTCCTGTCAGGGTGGTGAAACACTGGAATCAATTGCCTCGTGAAGTTGTGGAATCTCCATCCCTGGAGATATTTCAGAGTAGGTTAGACAGACACCTGTCAGGGATGGGCTAGATGGTGCTTGGTCCCGCTGTGAGGGCAGGGACTGGACTCTGTGCCTCTCAAGGTCCCTTCCAGTTCTGTGATTATCTGAATGTTGCATTTTGCTTTGCTCCCTCACGAGTGCCAGTGTTGCTTTGGCCACTCGGAGTGACTGAGCCCCACCTGCAGCGGGTGCAGTGCTAGTTCACATGTTGGTCTGTTTGGTTTATTTCTTGCTACCCGAATGTCTGGTGTGAATGAAGAACGAAGGTCTAAGAGTGGAGAAGATGCAGTCGGCCTCCGTAGAGTCTATCCCAGAGGTGCTGGAGGAGTGCACGTCTGTGGCAGAACATTCGGACTCTGCCTCAGTGCACGACATGGACTATGTCAACCCCCGCGGAGTTCGCTTTACACAGTCCTCCCAAAAGGAAGGTGAGAGCTTTGGGATTCTGCCGGTGCCCTTCCTGCCTCTGTCCCTGCCGCTCGCTGCGCTCCTGTTCCTGAACTGTTTTCCGTAACACGTTGCTCCATACTTCTTGGTGGATGTCGGTAAGAGGTGGGAGCAGGCGTGTGCAGGCCCTCCATTGTCTCACAAGCCCTTTTTCCTCAGGAACAGCGCTGGTCCCCTACGGCCTGCCTTGTATCCGGGAGCTATTCCGCTTCCTCATCTCTCTCACCAACCCGCACGACCGGCACAACTCAGAAGTGATGATCCACATGGGGCTGCAGCTGCTCACTGTTGCTCTGGAGTCTGCCCCTGTTGCAAAGTGCCAGTCTCTGCTGGGGCTTGTGAAAGATGAGTTGTGTCGGCACCTTTTTCAAGTGAGTCTGGGCTTTGCCCCTGGGTACGTGTAGCTAGTGAGCTGCCCTGTGTGTCCGCTGGCTGCGCGGCCTAGAGCTACTATTGGACCTCGGAGTGAGGTTACTGTGATCCGGAGTCATACGTCTGGTCGCTGAGAGGAGAGGGAGTGCTTGGGTTAGAAAGAAAGATGCCTTCATAAGAATTCATACAAGAGTCTATTCGTGCACTGTTGTGTGGGGCACAGGGACACTTTTCCTGCCCCACCTTTCCTGAACCCTTTCCCCCTCGCAGGAAATAGCCCCCAAATTCCAAAATGATGCCAGGTATAATTTCCCTTCCCCGTTCCTCTCCATCCATTTCCTAGATGGCTCTGAAGGACAGACATGTCTCCTCTTGACCCCTGTCCTCACCCTACTTCATTAAAGCAATAGGTGGAAACCTTCTGCCTTTCTTCCCCCAAAGAAGAGGGTGAGGAAGCTGATTTTAAGAAGCTTTTGGTTACATTGTCTCAGTAGCTTTGCTGAAATAGGGTATGGCTTGGCCTGAAAAAACGGGCTTGAGATGCATTCCCAAGATGCTAATGACCAGTCTGGTGGCAGGAGACTTAGGAATAAGCACTTAATCATTCGAGCGGGTGAGATCCTGGGAGGCAGCTAGTCACCTAGCTTTCTGCTCAGAGGAGATGTGCATGCTTGAGCAAAGCGAGTGTAGTAGTTGGAGGAGAAATGAGACTTCCCTGAGAGTGGCAGCGGATGTTTGAAGCCGGGTCACTGCTGTTCACATCCGGGGAGACCTTGAGATGGGAGGCGTCTGCTTCCAGCAATAGACCCTTTGGGCGATAGAACAGTAGCCCTGCTCGCCTGGCCAGTGTGGCTGGAGCTCTCACTCCATGTGGTTTTGTTCCTTGCTCAGCTGCTGAGTGTGGAGCGGCTCAGTCTGTACGCAGCCTCCCTCCGGGTATGCTTCCTGCTCTTCGAGAGCATGAGAGAGCACCTGAAGTTCCAACTGGAGGTGAGTTGTTGGAGTGCTGCCCCATGGACCCTTGGGAGGTTGACAGTAACTTCTTGGTGGGTAGGGATATACAGGACGGGGTGGGCAACATATACTGAGGCAACAGGGTGCAGCCCAAGTTTCCGTCCGCTAGGCATTGGCAGCCGTATGGGGGGGGCAGCCCTACGGGCAATCCAGGATCCCTTCCAATTAAAACAGTCAAGTGCTTTTGAAACTGATACATTGCCTTGCCTCCTCTCTAGTGTTTTAAATAGCCAATCTCAGTCTGATGAACAGTCAAATAATTCAGTGAGCCCCTTCAACATTTGCTGTTGAAACGTCTGTGAAGTTACTAAGTGCACAGGGGCCGGAAGAGCTTCTTCCTTTGAAATGAGCATTTACTAATTGTGGCGGATTTCACGCTGTGAATCACACGTGGAAGGGAAACCCGTAAATCACCATTTAAATAACCCTGAGGGCTCAGTATTATCCTGTTTTCCTTTCTTTTCCCTAACCGGAGCTGCCCTTTTTTCTGCCAGATGTACATAAAGAAGCTGATGGAGATCATCACTGTGGAGAACCCCAAGATGCCCTATGAGATGAAGGAGATGGCCCTGGAGGCCATTGTTCAGCTGTGGAGGATCCCCAGCTTTGTCACTGAGCTCTATATAAACTATGACTGTGACTACTACTGCTCTAACCTCTTTGAGGACCTCACCAAACTGCTCTCCAAGGTTCTGAAAAGGCTTTGCTATGGCCTTCCCTTCAGCTAGTGCTCAGACTTCATAACATGGGTTAGAACAGGGCTGGGAAAGCAGTGTAGATGGGCATTGAGATGGTGTGCAGTCAAAGAAGACCCCTTCGGGCAATTCTCCGGTGTGCTGATCATGCCACTGACACCTGCCGCCTTGCTCTCTGCGGCTCCCCACTACCTTGTCCTGCTGGGCCAGTTTCTCTAGTCTCCCCCAGACAAGGCACAGAGTTGGGGTTACCACCCCCTTGAAGAGCAAGGCCGATACTGAACCCCTTCAGCTCTGGAAGGATGCAGTTCTAGGGCCCAGCGTCCAGGAAACCAACTCTCAAAAGAGATCAAAACCCCAAATAAAACCATCTTTCTCTGAGCAAAAGTTTTATACAAGGAAAGCTCATGAGGATGTTTGCCCTCTTTGTCAATGAAGAGAGATGTACACTGGTTGTCCTCCCAAGTAACAATTGTTTACAATGAGCCTGATAGTAAACACAAAGTGTTTTTATTAAATACAAGCAGTCAGATTTCAGTGGTTGCAAGTGAAAACAGACAGAACAAAGTAAGTTACTAAGTTAAAATCCAAAGAGAATGCATAGTAGCTAGTTCTAATTCGCTAAAAAACGTATTGCAAGCAAATTCTTCCCCTAAAGAGCTGTTCTTGTTCTAAGCATAATCTCCAGGTCAGAGACAATCTCTTCTATCCTGACCTGGGTTCCCAGCCCTTTTCGTCCTTCCAGGATTTTCCAGCCCAGCCAAAGACAAAGGGCTGGTAACTTCCCCTTAAATTGTCTTCCCTCCAGGCCAGGAATCTTTTGTTCTACATTCCCCCTTCTATGGAGAATTACCAGTGTCAAAAATGGAATCCCAGTACCAGGCGGTATGGTCACATGTCTTACTAGTCCAATCACTTTTGGGCTAAAAAGGCTGTTTACAAGTCCTTATATTGATCGCCCAGTCGTTAAGGCTTCCAGAGCACTAGAAATGGCTCTCATTAGCACATCCAAACTTTAACCGTCTCATACTTCATATTTCTAATTTCACATACAAGTATGATACATGCACCCAACTAGAATATCAAGCTCTAGCAGATTGTAACATGATAGGTTACATGAGGCGTCTGAGTTGTGCATCTTTATATTCATAGCCAATTTTCATAAAGCATGGGGGGCTGTCATAGGGCTGTGGAGAGGAAGGGTGGCAGAGGGTCTGAGAGGAGGCGAGAGGAGATGGCAGTGGATGAAAGGTTCTGGTTGAACAAGTTTGTCTGGCTAAGAGAGACCACTTAGGTTCGGGAAGGTCAGAGGAGTGGCGGGAGCACATTAAGGCTAAGGGGGGAATGAATTGGAGTGCTCGAAAAAAGTGACGTGGGGCGCTTTGGGGGTGCTGTATTGTAACTGTCACGCTTGCAGAGCACTGGGACGAACTAGCCTGGCAGTGTGTTACATCTGAGACCATCTCACATTCAACTGTTTGATTTCCCAGAATGCCTTTCCTGTTTCTGGACAGCTCTACACCACCCACCTGCTGTGTCTGGAAGCGTTGCTGACTGTGATTGATAGCACGGAAGCACACTGCCAGGCCAAAGTCCTGAGCAGCGTCCACCAGCAAGAGAAGGACGTGGTCAAACCCAGCACAGACACTGCCAGCAGCACCAAAGAACCAAGCACCGGTGAGAGCCTCCTCTTCAGCAGCTCGAGCCTGGCTGCCCCTCGTGTGCCTGCTTGTGCTCAAGAGAACGTATCCCCGTTCTCCCAGTGCTCTAGAATTTAAACCGTATCAGCCAGAATGCTCCGGGGACTCGGTCTCTGGCAGCTGAGATCCAGGACAGTCAAACTGCCTAGATCGGGGTGGGCAATAATTTTTGATGGGGGGCCACTTCAAGAATTTGAAAACTGGTCAAGGGCTGCACTCTCCTCTGATATGATATTAATGGAGGAGATGTGGGGTTGGGGTGGAGGGTACGTGCAAAAGGGAGCTCAGGGTAGTGGATTGGGGTGCAGGAGGGGAAGTGAGTCTGGGTGAAGGAAGGGGTTGTGGCCTGGGGCAGGCAGTTGGAGTCCAAGAGGGCATGCAGGGTCTAGGAGTTGGTGTCTGGTCCAGAGGAGGATTCTGACCTGGAGGAGGAATATAGCAAAGTAGTGCAGGGTCTGGAAGGGGGTTGTCACCTGGCGCAGGAGTACCGGATGGGGTGCAGGGGTTTTGGCTGTGACCTGGGGCAGGATTGGGGTGCAGGAGCAGGGATTCAGAGGGTTTGGCTTGTGACCTGGGGCAGCGGTGCAGAATGGATGCTGAGGGTTTGGGTGCACGAAGGGTGGGTGGGTGCCGGATGCAGGCTGTCTGGGAGGCTTACCTTACATGGCTCCTGGCCAGCAGCCCAGCAGGACCCTCAGGTAGGCTCCCAGCTTGCTGTGCCCCCACATGCCAGTGAAAGCGGCCAGCTGAAAGGGCCACGTGCGTCTCTGTGTACTGTGCCAGTTTCTGGCCAATGGGAGCCGCAAGATTGTGCTGGGGGTGGGGAGCACGCCAGGGCATGCAGATGTAGTAGTCATAGTACTTTCCAAGATGCAGTCGTTCAGGAGGGCGTGTGGACTGCCTGCCACCTTTGCAGAGGTGTTACGGTTCAGGTCGTATTCTCCTGCTGTATAAGGACGAGGTAGCCAGGTTACACCCACCTACTCATTTCACTGACCCTAATGCAGCCTCTGCTGCCTGTTTGTCCCTGCTTCTGACACTTCTGGGATCGCTATAGAAAGCTTGGCCCAAATGTTTACAGGCCGCTGGGCTTTGGTAGGGGCCTGCACGTGAGATGCCCATTTTGTCCTGCAGTTACTGCTCAGCAGGGCTCCTGGCACCCATCTCCAACAGAACTGATCGTTGCTTTTTGATCACCAAGAGTGGGGATCCATGTGGAAAATCACTTGCCAAAATGGTTCCCAACCTTACGGGTTCCTTGAGATCCTCCTACCCTGTTATCACAAAGTCCTGCTCCTCTGGGAATCTGTACTGGAGAAGCGGCTGAGGGGCCGTTAGACCCGTTCTCTTCTTAATACCCGTGGGTGGTCTGTTCTGAGAGAAGGAACAGACTCATCTGGGCACGCCAGGGCGGGGTGGATCGAGCTGCCTCTGGGATCCTTTGCCAATCCAGAACCCTGGAGGAGAAGGACACGGGAGTAGCAGGGCAGGAGCGGGGCTGACGCATCTCAGTGTCTGTTTCTAACAGGTCAGTAACTGGCCTTTTCTTGTGGTCAGACACACGCAGGCCTTCACCGGTGAGCAGCAGTTAGTTATTCAGAAGCGTCTCCGTTTTCTGTTGCTGATTTCTCTTGCTTTCTCACAGCCAATGAGAGAAAGCTGAGTGAAGGGAAAGCTGCCGGCGTGATCACAGAGCTGCCTGGGGCATGCCCACCCACCAGTGGGTGCCTCATGGCTGACCAGATGAAGCAGGGCTGCCTGGATTTGGAAGGAAGAAGCGATGCAGGTAATAGTCCCGCTGACAGGACATCTGCATGCAGGGACCGGGTCAGACCTGTGCTCTTTGGACTGTGCTACCCCTACGTACCCCGAAATGCGTGTGCCTGAGTTGCTGTTACTTGGGTTGCGCTGTATTTGCCAGCCTGGCTACTAGAGACATTTGTGTGGAGAGGGTTAGAACGGGGGGTCCCCTTTGCTTGTCACGAAAACCCCTGAGGTTGCCCTTGGTTGGTATCATTTCCAACAGACAGTCAAGGGCAGCGCAGGGCCAGCATGCCTCAAGGAGGCCAGAAAATAACCCGGGTGTGTGACATGGTCCTGGCAAGAGGTTCCTGTGCACGAGTGGTGGGAAGGGTGTGTGTGGTGAGATGGGAGGGGCACTCCAGTGAGCGACGCCCTTGTAGGGGAGGAGCTGGCTGTAACGACACTTTCGCTTTCCTTCCTAGCCGAGAAGAGCAGCCCCAGGAAGCCCACGCGGTTTTCCTGCCTCCTGCCCAGGACTCAGGAGCTGATGGAAATTAAGAGCAAAAAGAAGGTGCGGGGCTGTGAACATGCTGTAGATCGGTTCTCTGGACGTCGTCCAGTGTTTGTATTCCGGCCTGCTGTGATCAGCCAACCCTTTCCAATGCTCAGTTGAGACGTGTGTGTGTAATGACTTGAGTAATCACAGTGAGGCCCAAACTGCATCAGAGAAGGCAGGGCAGCGTCTTCAGGGAATAGGTCTGACTTTGGGCCTACTGGAGTGTCACTCTAGCAGTGCTCTGAGTTACTGGAGCGGTTGGGGAAATTTCATCCCAGCACTTTTACTATGAATCCATGATGCCCCAGTCTGTTGGAGGCCCAACTTCTGGGCGTCCTGGTAGTGGAGATGGTCAACCCCTCTCTCCAGAAGGGTAGGTTGCCTGATACTCTTACCAAAGCAATAGTGCAGCCTGCTCTCCAGAAGCCCCCATTTGAAAAGGGCTTTTGGCCAGTTATCTTGCTCTAATCTCCCCTTTGTGGGTCAGATCATTGAAAGATCGTGATCAGAAAACCCTCCTCAAATCTAGATGCCCCGATTTCGTTAACCTCGTTAATGTGGGTTCCTGTCTGAGTATGGCACAGACTGGACTTGTTGAGTAGCTGGTTCCTCCTCCATCTGGATGGAGGTCAGGTGTCCGTGCTGATGGTGTTGGCGCTGTAGCCGAGCGGTTGTAGTGCAGACATACACTCAGCATATATGTCAGCCTGTGAAGAGGCTTAGGGAGGAAGCCTGGTCCTGATGATTTCAGTCTGAGCGACAGAGATCCCAGCCAGATGAAAGAGGGTGGTGGTGGCAGGCTGGAGAAAGCAATCAAAAGCTGCGATTTTTAACTGTCCCTTAGTGGGTGTTTGCAGCTTGGGTTGGCTGGGTTGGCTGTGGGATGCCCATGCGAGCTCTTTGCACATGTATCTGGCTAGAAGGCTGCAACCTTTTCTTCCCAATGCAGCTTTCACTACTCTGGCTCGTGCCATTGTCATCTCAGATTGTAATATGTGCTCTGTGGGGGCTCCGACATCTAGTCGGAAACAGAATCGGCCCAAAGTATGTACGTGCGTGTCCCCGGAGAGCCCCTTAGATCTGTGCCTCATGGCCCTCTGGCTGCTGGTGGGGGTGAGTGGGGTTCAAGGCACTGTTCTGCTTTAGAAAGCTCTGAACTTTGTGGGACTGTCTTGCAGTCCCTCAGGGCCCCCTTCCTTCCCCATAACTCATGGGGAGCTCTTGTCTGAGCTCCCTTAGTTATATGGGACGGAGCTATCTGGGTGTTCTCAATAAGGGCCTTTCAGCTTTGGAGTTTGCTCTCCTCCATTTGTCTAAAAAGGACCTGATGTGTTGACCTTCACATCCCACACTAAGGCAGCTTTTCTGGAAGCTGTTGGGGGGAGGAAGTTGTTTGAGGATCAGTCTTGAGAAAGGCTCATCTTTTGCTGGGAGGGTTAATTAATCCTAGATCAGAGAGGCAATTAGAGATTTTTAAGATAACTGTCAAAGGTGTCTAGAGTCTGGAATAAGCATCTTGTCTTTGTCCTGTAGCTCCAAATATATACCAATGGCTTTCCATATTGAGGTGATCCCTCAGGCTGTGTAGGGTAGGTAGTACTTGGACTTCATCCCTGCAGCATCTGTGCACCTCAGTCATTGCAGATGTTCTCCTGACCGCATCCCTGTGTCCACTGCCCTGTGCTACAAGAGTTGGGGACTTCATTGTACTGTGAGAACGTGGGGCGGTAGAAAGGAGTGGGGGATGGGCTCTGATGTCCTGAGCGCCCTGGAGAGTTCGAGTTGAGATGGCCATGAATTTAGTTCACTAGGTCATTGCTAGCGGTTTCATGGTGATGGGAACTAACAGGGAACTGACATTTATTCTGGGGCTTTAGTAAAGTTCATGTAGCTGTTGGTGCGTTTGGTTTTCTTAACACAATGAAACCTTCAGTTAACCCCTCCTTAACCAGCTGCTCTGTGGTGCTGTAAGCATTTTGTTATGTAACCCTGATCCCTGAAGATCAAATCATGTACGTATAAGCAGAATTGAGTTCTCTTAAAAAAATCAAATAAAAAGCCCTTTTTTAATATTGCCCAAGACTCTCAGTTGGTTTTGCTTGTCCTGGTGGAGCTCTAGATGTTCTGGAGACTTGCCTCACCTGCTGAGCTGTTTCTGTGTCTTATT